CATGTGGTGCAAGCTACGTGGTGTAAGCTATGCGATTCAACATCGGAGGAGCCAAACACGAGGAGCCAGCGGGTTGGCATCGGCTGGAAGACCAACGAATCCAGCTAAAGCGGGTGTTGCTCGTGTCCGCGTTACCCCTTGGTTTTCGCCGTGGGTGAACGCACACATACCGAACATTGTGATGAAGGCTTCGTACCCGATCAAGAGGAGCACGCACCTTAGTTGAGCAACTCAGCAGGCCCTCGGCTCGCGGATGGGGTAAAGCACGATGAGGGCAGCGCTTCTCCGCATCGGGAGAGACTCAGCATGGGGTGAAAACGCTGGGCTGGCTGCCGCCCCCCCCCCCACGGCCACCCGCTGCTGAGGTGGGCGTGCGTGCGCGAACAGCTGGAGGAGCACACTGGGAGGCCCCTGGGGCCTTTGGCGCCTGCTGCCCTGGTGCAGGGGCCGAACGCACACCCCACCGCGGCGCCAGCTGCCTTCGAGGCGCCCCGGGCCGGGCACGGGCCGCAGCGCTGGAACCTTCCGGCCGGCGCACCCGGGCGCCCCCGAGGCGCCCACGGCGCGGAGCACCTGCCGAAGAGCCGGAGCTCTTTTGCGCCCGATCGTGACAGGCAGCCAGCGCGAAGCCCTGTGTGCGAGCTGTCGCCTGGGAGGGAAAACGAGGGAGGTCAGCACCACCTATTGCGAAGGCCTTACGGCCGGTGCCGCCGACCCTGAATGGCGACGACGACGACGACGACGACGACGACGACGCTGTCAGAGGACGAGAAGGAGAAACACCAGAGGAGGAGGAGAAGGCAGAGGCAGAGAAGCCAGGAAGGAATGGCAGGGCAACAGATGTGGAGGGAGTGCTGTTGCGAGGGCGCCGTGACCAGGTGTTGTGGAGCTTGGCTGGCTTATGGAGTTTAGGGGGGGCCGCCCCAAGTCTCGGCCGCGCAAAAGGGGTGGTGCCAGCTAGATGGAATGATGATGATGAGGAGGAGGGGAGGAAGCAGGAGGAAGAGGAAACGCAAATGGCAGGGATGCAGGAGCCTCAAGATCGTGTTCCATCTGCTGGACGCTGGGCTGTGCGAGATTATGGCGCCCGACTACGACCTCTGGAAGCTGCTGGCACAGGCTAGAATGAAGGGAATATGCAGGAGCATGATGTTGATGGAGATGGTGATGCTGTTGATGATGATGCTGATAATGATGATGATGGTGATGATGATGATGATGATGATGATGATGATGATGATGATGATGATGATGATGATGATGATGATGATGATGATGATGATGATGATAATGATGATGATGATGATGATGATGATGATAATGATGATGGTGATGGTGATGATGATGATGATGGTGGTGGTGGTGATGATGATGATGGTGGTGGTTGTGATGATGGTGATGATGATGCTGCTGATGCTGCTGCTGTGCTGATGATGATGCTGATGACGATGACGATGGCGATGACGATGATGACGACAATATGACGACGATGATTAGATGATGATGAGGAGGATTATCATATTGAAGATGGGGGTGATGATAAAGATGAGGAGGAGGAGGAGGAGGATTGTGTTGACGACGATGGTGATGACGAAGATGATGGTGATCATGTTGAGGAGGAGGGGGATAAGGGGGAGGATACATAAGAGGAGGAGGAGGAGGAAGAGGAGGAAGAGGAGGAAGAGGAGAAGGAGGGAAGGACGACGACGACGACCAGTTGACCCCGAGCTCCGCGCCGCGGGCCGCAGAGAGGCTTGCGTACCACTCCCCGAGCCAGGATCGTGAGTCTGCCGTCTTCGGTGGAGCCTTCCAGTGGCGGCGGATGGGGCCAGGATAGTGAGGAAGAAGAGGCGGAGAGAGGGGGATGAGGAGCTTCCCCTGCACGTCTTCTGGGCGACATCTCCTCCGAATCCCCCCGTCGTGATCCTTCGCCGCCTCCGTTTCCTGCTGCTGCTCCTCTTCGTCCTCACCCTTCGCCTCCCCCATGTCTCGTGTGCGTCTCCTATCTCCTGCTCCTTCTCCTCCATGTCCTTGTCCTGGCGCCCTTGTGCGAAGCCATTGGTCATATTCCGCCTGATCATCTTCGTTGTTCTCGTCGTCCCAATCATCAGCATATTCCTCCTCTCCCGTATCATCCCGTCTCCGTGTCCGCTTCCTCCGACTCCATTTCGTCCTCTTCTCCTCTTGCTCGTGATCTCCATTGTCTTGCCGCTCCTCGTCATTCCCCTTTTCCCGCATCATCATTATCATAATCATCCATCATCCTTCCCCTCCTCTGTCCTCCTCCTCCTCCTCATCCTCCCCCTTCGCGCCTTCTTCATCCCGATCCTCCTCCTCCTCCTCCTCCTCCTCCTCCTCCTCCTCCTCCTCCTCCTCCTCCATTCCTTTTCCTGAGAAACAGGTTGCACGCGTGCTCTGGCTCTTGCACATTTGAGGAGAGGAGGAGGAGGCGCAGGTGGGGGATCGAGGAGACAAGGAAGAGGAGGAGGAGGAGGAGGAGGAGGAGGAGGAGGAGGAGGAGAGGAGGAGGAGGAGGAGAGAGGGAGGAGGAGGAGGGGAGGAGGAGGAGGAGGAGAGGAGGAGGAGGAGAGGAGGAGGAGGAGGAGGGAGAGGAGGAGAGGAGGAGGAGGAGGGAGGGGGAGGGGGAGGGGAGGAGGAGAGGAGGAGGAGGAGGAGGAGGAGGAGGGGGGAGGAGGAGGAGGAGGCGGAGGCGGAGGAGAAGGGGCAGGTGGGGCCAGGGCGCCCCGGTGCTGAACCAACGGTTGTCGACTGGGACCTGCCCGAATGTTTTTTTCAGACACCCGAGGCGCGGCAGATTTTTCGAGGCTGGGTCCAGGGACAGGGCCAGCGGGGCGAGGGGGGCTGGGGCCAGGACCAGGGGGGTAGGCTGGGTCCAGTGCCAGGACCAGGGCGGCGAGGGGGGCTGGGGCCAGGGCCAGGAGGGGAGGCTGGGTCCAGGGCCAGGGGCAGGAACACGACAACCAGCGAAAATGAAGGGTCCAGGGCGAGGAGGGCTGGAGCCAGGGCCAGGGGAGGAGGCTGGGTCCAAGGACAGGACCAGGGGGGCGACGACGAGGAAGGCTCGGGCTAGGACCAGGGTGGGAGGCTGGGTCGAGAGCCAGGACCAAGGGGGACGACGACAAGCGAAGATGAAGGGTCCGGCGCGAGGGGGGACTGGGGCCAGGGCCAGGGAGGGAGGCTGGATCCAGGGCCAGGGCCAGCGGGGCGAAGGCGGCTAGGGCCAAAACCAGGCGGGGAGGTTGGGTCCAGTGCCAGGACCAGGGGAACGACGACGAGGGGGGCTGGGGCTAGGACCAAGGGGGAGACTGGGTCCAAGGCCGGGACCAGGGGGACGACGACGAACGAAGATAAAGGGTCCGGCGCGAGGGGGGCTGGGGCAAGGGCCAGGGGAGGAGGAGGCTGGGTCCAGGGCCAGGGCCAGCGGGGCTAGGGGGGCCCGGGCCAGCCCCACGGGGGGAGGTTGGGTCCAGGGCCAGGGCCAGGGGGACAACGACAAGCGAAAATAAAGAGGTCCGAGCTCTATAACACAACGGTGCAAGATGATAAATGGGCCGGGGCGGAGGGGCATTATGGCTGGTGTGTGGGAGGATGCGGAGGGGGCGCGCGGGGGGGGCGGCGCCGTGCCGAAGTAAAAGGGTCGGGGCGGAGGGGGCGCACTGGCTGGTGCGTGTGGTGACGCAGAGTGGGCGCTCGAGATGGGGGGCGGTGCCGTACCGAAATGAAGGGGTCGGGGCGGAAGGGGCGCGCTGGCTGGTGGGCGGGTGATGCGGAGGGGGCGCGCAGGATGCTGGGGGGGCGGTGCCGTGCCGAAATAAAGAAGTCGGGGCGGAGGGGCGGTGCCGTGCCGAAATAAAGGGGTCGGGGCGGAGGGGGCGCGTTGGCTGGTGGGTGGGGTAATCGGAGGGGGCGCGGGCCAGAGGGAATGCGCTGGCTGGTAGGTGGGAGAGTGCGGACGGCCTTTGTAAAGGGGTCGGGGCGGGGCGGTGCCTCGCCGAAATAAAAGGGTCGGGGCGGAGGGGGCGCGCTGGCCGGTGGATGGGGGAGTGCGGAGGGGGCGCGCGGGACGCGAGGGGGGCGGTGCCGTGCCGAAATAAAGGGGTCAGGGCGAACGGGGCGCTCTGGCTGGCTGGCGGGGAGGCGTGGAGGGGGCGCGCGGGAGGGAGGGGGGCGGTGCCGTGCCGAAATAAAATATTCGGGGCGGAGGGGGCGCGCTGGCTGGTGGATGGGGCGATAGAGGTGGCGCGCGGGATGGGGGGAGGCAGTGCCGTGCCAACAAGAAAAATGATCGGGGCGGAGGGGCGCGCTGGCTGGCGGGCGGGGTAATGCGGAGGGGGGCGTGGGATGGGGGGGCTGTGCCGCGCCGAAATAAAATATTCGGGGCGGAGGGGGCGCGCTGGCTGGCGGACGAGGCGATGCGGAGGTGGGCGCGGAATGGGGGGAAGGGTGTGCCGAAATGAAGGGGTCAGGACGGACGGGGCGCTCTGGCTGACGGGTGAGGGGGTGCGGAGGGGGCGCGCGGGATGGGAGAGGGGCGGTGCCGTGCCGAAATGAAGGGGTCGGGGCGGAGGGGGCGTGCTGGCTGGTGAGTGGGGCGATGCAGAGGGGGCGTTCGGGATGGGAGGGGGGGCCGTGCCGTGCCCAAATGAAATGGTCGGGGCGGAGCGGGCGCACTGGCTGGTGCGCGGGGTGATGCAGAGGGGGGGCGCTCGGGATGGGGGGCGGTGCCGTGCCGAAATAAAATATTCGGGGCGGAGGGGTCGCGCTGGCTGGTGGGCGGGGTGATGCGGAGGTGGCGCGCGGGATGGGGGGAGCGGTGCCGTGCCGAACTACACAATTCGAAGCTCTAGGCACCCTGTGCTAGAGAATCATTTCTCCTTGTCGCACCCCGAGACAGTTTTCAGGGTGGGCCGGGCGTTTCGCTTGAGACTTCCTCACCATTCATGACACTGAAGCTTCAAACATGACCACCGAATCACAATTTAGCGCCGCGCACATTCGTTTAAACATCTGAAAAAGAGTCAGTGATTGAGGGTGGGTTGTTTTCAAACTGTTGTTCTCGCCTTAGCGCCGCGCACGTTCGTTTTTAGAATGTGCAATGGCTTCACGGATTGAGGGCGGGTGGTTTTCCACATGTGGTTCTCGCTTTGGCGCTGCGCACATTCGTTTTCAAAACTTGCAAGAGGTTCGCGGAGTGAAGGCGAATGGTTTTCAACATGTGTTTCTCGCCGTAGCGCCGCGCACATTCGTTTTGTTCGATGTGCAAGAGCGTCACGGATTGAGGGCAGAGGTGGTGTTCAAGTTGTGGTCTTCGCTTTAGCGCCGCACGGATTGAGGGTGGGTGGTTTTCCAAATGTGGTTCTCGCTTCAGTGCCGCGCACATTCGGTTTCAACATTCGCAGGGGCTTCACGGAGTGAGGGCAGGTGGTTTTCAAAATGTGGTTCTCGCTTTAGCGCCGCGTCCATTCGTTTTAGACATGTGCAAAAGTTCCACGGACCCCCATGATCAGCCTACCAACAACGGCGTTTGGGGAAGGAGTCAGGATTATGAGGGCGCAACAGTTACGTTGATTCGCTGTGTTGAACAGGAATGGTATTCTGGCACGGTTCAAGATCGTCAAGACGCAAGAGTCAGATTGACCCGTGGCGTTAGAATCCAGAGAGCATTGTTTTGACATGATTCAGAGTCTTCAAACGGTTGTCTTCCAACGAGGCAGTTCCCTCAGTGGTAATGAACCGTTGTAGGGGCCTATGAAGAGGGATCTTGGAGGGAGTGTTTATTCCAACATCGTTGGTAACTCTTGGGGGTTTCCACTGGTCCTCCTCCTCCTGCTCCTCCTCCTCCTCCTCATAATCCTGCCGAGCAGGCAGCCCGTGATGAGGCATTACAAAGTGTTCTCGAGGGTGCTCTCACAATGCTGTCGCCAGCACTTGTCCAACAGGGAGGTGACCCATGGGCAGCGGGGCTGTTCAAGAGGGACTTCGAGGCCACGGAGGGCCAGACAGTACAGAAAGAGCTCATGTCCTCCATCGACAAGTCCTTGTCGGATGCACTCCCCGCTGCTGCCGCCTTCGGGGTGCAGCCACTGTTCTCCCGTTTC